GTGAACAACAGATTTCGAAACAATCGTGATCGATCATTTCGTAGAAACCTCGGCAATCAAGTTTTTTCCCGTGAGACGACATTCGCGTGTCCTCGAGCTGCCCGAAATTTATTCGAAAGAGTCTTCCCCGAGAGCGTACGAATCGAAAACATTTTGATCGTCGCGTGTATCGCCGGGACGTCCTCGAAACGGCGGGCACGGCTTTATCTCGGCAGGCGGCGCTGTTTAAATCCTAATAAATTGGTAAGCAAGAATGCTGTTTCCCCGATATCTAAGCCGTCGTAAACATTCGGGCATAATGTTTCCGCCGTGGCCGTGGCTCGTCCCGAAAAAATCGGGCTATAAATTAGTATCGCCGAATGAGACGGCCTGGCAGCGACGCTCCGTTAATAACGCCGGAGCCACGATACGCCGAGACATCTTTTCGGGGCCCGTTGAGGTCAAGGATGATGCGGTTTCCGGGGGAACCGGTTCTCATGAAAGGATCGCGGCTAAATTCGCCGGCTCGCGTGGCAATTCACTGGAACTGTTTGCAGTTCATCGCACCGCGCCTCCCTTCGTTACGCCGCTGGTTACGTGTAACCGTTCGATCGTGAGGATTGCCTTCTTCTTGTTCGTAAAAACGGGATTCGAACTGTTCGCGAGGCAGTAATTGTGTCTGAGGTTCGTCCAAAAAATTAGTGACGTAACTCGAGTAAGAACCCTGGAACGATCTTAATGTTCTCGATCGATCGAACAACCTTTACGATCTCTCTTCCTCTTGAGTATTACGGTATATTTTTTAGTTGTGCTTTTCTTGTAACTGTGGAATCGTATGTGTCAGGCGATGAGAATTTTAACGATAGATTTACGGACGTTTATTCTACAGTTTCATCGCACAGATCAACATCGACTGTGCTAAATGTTTGAAGAATTATCCGTCAGACGGGTGAATCTAGCGTTAGACGAAATTAATTACATTCTAGAACTCCTTGAAAATTGAACACTGAATCCCTTTAGCTACGAAATATCAAAAATACATTACACCTTCGTTACATCTAAAGAATCCTTGTCAACTTCCCAAAGGTTCCGAAAAAATGACAATTCGCACGCTCTCAAAATCCACCTTTCATAAAAAAAATCCGCTCCAATTAATAACAACCTCCACGATGCTTTGATCCCGAACGAACCCGCGTCGTTCCTCTGTCGGTCAGCTCGCGTTCCGCGCGATGCTAGGAAAGAGAGTCCTCGTCGGGGGTTAACGGCGGCAGTGCAGCGGACATAATTCAGCCAGCTCTGCAGAGAGATGCGGACATTATGTGTGTTCCGGGCATGATCACCGGCGGAACTGGAATTTCGAATTCAAGTCGGGATCGGCTCACCGTGGGAACCTCGGCTGGCTCCGGTTAGCTCTTTGACCGGTGACCTCCCGCGGCAAATTACGTAATGGCGATAAGCAAAGACGCATCTCGCCCCGTGACCCGGCGCGAATCGTTATATCGGCCGGCGGTGCCGCCATTATCCGGACGCGAGAGACGCGGCCGTGTCCTCCTTCGAACTCCTCCCGAATCTCATTTCAAGTTTGAATTGCCAGGGCGCGCGCAGCGGCGTCGCAGTTGTTAACGCGAGAGGAGCGTCGATTCGTGTTATTTTCGTCTTACGGAATTCGCCGCGCCTTATCCTATTACAGCGCAAGTTCGGCAACTGTAATATTCGATGCAAAATTAAATTAAGCCCGAACGGTGTTCAGTGTTTTTGACTATCTCCGAGAGGATTATTTAAGCTTCGTCGCCGAGTTCCGCGGAGTTTCGCCGGGACTTGCTGCGCGGGGAATTTGGAATTGTCGTAGTTCGCATCGGCGATTGGGAATTTTGCTCGTTCGCTGAATATTTCGCGCGAGTCGAGTAATTGTTTCATTGCTGTTCTAGTTTCGCGAAGGTAACCCTTTACGGACGAATGTCGGCGAGATGAAATTTCCGTGTTTGCAAGGCTAGATCGCGATGATTTCATTAGTCGAACTGCGAGAGATCGCGTTCCCTTTTTTCTATTAATTAGGCAATTGATGTGTTCACCTCCATCTATGAAGGTTCCCTCCATTTCAGTATAAATAACTATATACACTAACGACAAGAGTTTCCAAATTCTTCTTTAATAAAACATCGAGAACAGTAGTTACATTCTACATCTAAATCACTTACCATTACTACTCATCTTTAACCTTACACCACTCTCAAACAACATTAATTTCAAATTAATCTACAAACCTCTCGGAAACGTCCAAATCTAAACGGTCCAAGTCAGTCCCAAACATTGTCCTGCCATCCTACCATCCAGCATTCCAGCGACAAACTTACCATGAAGAGTCCCGTTCAAATCCTGCGCATCCAGGCAACTCATAGACAGCCATTCTCAAGCGGCAGACTTTCTTCCCAAGAACCTCCGAAACTCCGAGAACCAGTCAGTTCTTCCTAGGATCCATCGCTCCGCGATTCGAGCTCACGGATCATTACTCACGGCCGAGGGCCGTTATTAACATTCTCCGGGCGTTGGTCCGTTCCTTTCCCATCTGCCGGAAGAACCATAGCGACAACGGATGATGGATGTCACGGGGGATCGTCCGGGACCCCCTGGCAAATTGTCCGACGGTCTTGTTAGCCGTCGCGCGTAGAATTTCGCTGTTTTTGGCCCGATAATCGCGCAACGTCATCCTCCTTCTCCCCTGTTGCAAAACATTGTCCTGCAGTCCTGGGATACCGGGGATTTCTCGGTACACGCTGTAGACAGCCAACCCCTTAACGCGCAAGTTTTCCCGGCGTGCAATGCTATTAACACTGTGTCTACACGATGAGGCGAGTTTCGTTGTTGTGCACTTGATTAACAACATGCACGTTTCAACGCGTATTTTTCATTCTTCGACCTCTCGATGGAAAGCTGTTCGTTTATATGGGAAAAAGTGAATTGGGCATTCAGGGAAATTAATTGTATAACTATACTAATTATACGAATACAATAGTTAACCCTAGATTTACTCGTAATAATTCAATTATACGAATGGATATTGCAATACAATTTCGAAGCTGCAACTCTCTTCGTCTATAAGAACACGTGGTTTTCTAGAATCAATAGACATTAAGATAATTGCAATATCATCTTATTATTGTACGTACAATGTACTTCATATGATATCGATTACTATGTTATTTTTACGCTATATGTTATTTACATTTGCTCACCGTATTAACCATTATATTGCACGTGGCACGTACGTTCCTAAATGTATCCTTTCGGCGTCAGTCTTCTCATCCAACTAATTTCCAAGCGATTCGAAACGGTCAGCCGCGGTAATCAACGTGTTAATAACCAATTTCCGTTAATTGCCAATCCGTCGGGATCGTATATGCAACGGTTAGCCGTTGGAGCGTTAAAAGGCTGCGGCGAGAGAAAGGAGCAACGAAGAGATAGACGCAGGAAGATGCTGCGGGCGCGTCCTCAAAGCTGGAATGCCGCAGGCGTTCGTGTAGGTTCCATGTTGGTAGCCTGCTCTAGCGCCCCAACGGCTCCTCGTTATTCGTCCTGGCCGTGTTGTACGAGGGGAATCCTGTTTGTCCGACTATCTGTCCGCTATCAACTGGCCGCAACTTCCCAGCGACATTGTTTCGGTTTACTTTTCCGGGTCGGTTCGGATGTTCCGAGCTTTGATAGTCCGGGCTGAAGTTTGTAGACACGGTTAGGGGATGACTGATATTTCATGATACTGGCTTGAGGATTGCCGGATGATTTTCGCTGGAATAAGATGGTTCTTTGATTTATATTTCTTGTATTCATATTCTCAGCTATTACTGCAAATGCAAATATATTTATATAATTTTTAATTCGCAGTCAATTGAAAATTGCATTGTAGTTCTTAACGTTGAGAGCTTGGGAGCCTTGGACAGTTAAATATTTAAAGATTGAGAAATTTCGGAGTGCAATTAGATTGAAACTTATCAGAGTTTTAAAATTGACATTTTTGAGGTTTTAGTGTTTAAGCTTGAATGTAACGTCGTTGAGTGCTTATAAAATTTCTAAAATTAGGAAGATGTTGGCGTATGAGATTTCGAACGTTTGCATTGCAAGTTAAACGATGCCTGCTAACTGCAATTGCAAATAGGCGAACACTCGGTAGGCTCGCAAGAACGTAAACTGCATTCCACGATCGAAGGTTGACTGCTGCTCGTGTGGAGGAAACGAATTCGTTAATGACGTAATCAGATTAGCTCATACTCGTTAACACTTGCCAATACGGGCGAGTATTGATCAAGGCCTTCGCCAAGACGCGCCCGATGCGTTCGGATTCGAAACGGCGCAGTTTCAACTGCGTGGATTACTATTTTTATAGTACCGATCACGCTTCGAACAGCTGGATTATGTTCCCTCGAAGTATTATTTATCATTCCGCGCAATTTACCTTTTTTCTTTAGTCATCTTGTACTTCTGTGGCACGCGGAACGTACGCAGACGGGTTTCGTGTTGGATTAAAGTGATAAATTGCGCTTACATTCGCCAGCAACATAATTGTACTTGCTGATAAATCTTCCTGATGCATAACAGTAGCTCGCGCAATGAATTCCTCGCAATGAAATCTTCTCGGGTCAATGATAAGTCACAAATCCGTCTTACACGTGACTCTCGAACTACATAAACCCTTCTAGCAACAAATATCTCTAAATTCAGAATATCCAAAACCACCGACAAACCACTAACTAACAAAAAACGAAGCTTTTGTTCCATCACCGTTCAAAATCAGCGTGAACGTGTCAACAATTAAATCTCCCAGATCCCTCCACCATTCCGAACCCATGCTGAATCTCGTCAAAACCGGTATCAAAAACTCTCACGCCATTTGCCAGCAAAACAATTAAACAACAGAAATTCGCGACAAACACCCAAAACTACCTTCACCCAAAAACTGAACAAAAGAACCTACAATTAAAATTCGCCGGATGTTTCGACGAAACTACAACGTCGTTTTCCTGTTGCAGAACATCCTGGACAAGTTCAATCCGGGAGCGAGGCAGCTGATCAATGCCGGCAAAGCATATTTGAAGGCCCTCCACGGTGAGTGAATTAAATTGAT